TGTTCTTATCCAACAGTCAAAGAAAAGGCAACACATTACACAATTCATAATGGCCTGGTGGATATACAATGCACCACATATGGAACATAATTCAATTCAATGCTTGTTAAGCACCCATGTGCAAGACATCAGGCTCCATTCTACCGGGTTATCATTAATCCATTCATGGGTTATCCTCCCCAAATAGCATAACATTGAAGCTGCTTTCAAGAAGCTTAAAACCTAATGTTGGTGGAGATGGAGATCACTGTAATTGGAGGAATCATAGCAGGCTTCATAAATGAATCTGAGTTGAGACTTAAAGAAAGGGAATTTCTGTAGTAGATAAAAGGTAGAAGCAGGGACTCCAGTGCAAGAAAGTTAGGCAATTTGAATAAAGGCAGATGAAGGCAGGATGGAGTCTAGCATGGCTAGGATATAGACAGCATGAAGGGCAGTTATGTGATAACGTTGGAAACATAGGCTGGGGGCCAGATTGTGAAAGAAAAGAAAGAAGGAAATAAACATTTATTAAGTGTCTACTAGGTGCCAGGTACTGGCTAAGTGCTTTACAAATGCTATCTCATTTGAACCTCAAAACAACCCTGGAAGGTAGGTGCTGTTATTATCTTCATTTAACAGATGGGGAAACCAAAGCAATTTGAGGTTGTGTCTTGCCCAGGGTACAGCTAGTACATTTCTGAGGCTGGATTTGAATTTGGGGTCTTTCTGATTCCAGACCCGGCATTCTATCCATTGCACCACTTGGCTGCCTCTAGGCTTCAGTAGGCTTCTTTACCTGACTGACGCTACCTTCCTCAATCTCTTTCTGCCCTCAGTTTGGAGGGCAGAGTTCCAGACTCCTCTCAATGCCTTCCTTCATAGAGGGCAGAAACTGGACTCTCAACCCAGTCTACTTTGCCCTGACTGCAGTGCGCAGTTTCAATTCCACAAAAGATGTTCCTTTCCCTCCATTTCTTGCTTCCTTTTATGTGTTGTGTCCCTCTCCAATTAGACTGTAAGCTCCCTGAGGGCAGGAACTGCATTTTTATTTATTAATTATGTCCCCATCACTTAGTACAGTGCCTGGCACAAGGTAGGTGCTTCATACACATTTATTGGATTGGGTTGGATTCTGGTGCCTTTTCCTGCATCTTTCAAGGCTGCATAGTGGTAGTTAAGAATGTTGAACTTGGAATCAGAAAGTCTTGGTTTTAAATCCTCCCTGACACTTTCTAGCTGTGTGGCCTTGAACAACTCATTCAATCTAAGTGATACAATGGAAAAATCACTGTATTTGGAGCAATGGGATTAGAGTCCAAAGCCAGAGTGTGGTAATTTGCTATCTGTGCGACTTTGGGCAAGAACCTTCATTTCTCTATCTCATTTTCCTCATATATAAAATGCTAGAATTTGACCAGATAACCTTTAAAGTCTTACAGCTACTGAAGACCAAAAAAGAAAGTTCCCACTACCAAAATCCTTAGCATCATCAAATGGGCTCACCATCAGCAATGAATGTGGTTTTAACAATAGAAATTACTCTAGAGTAGGTGCATTATCATTGAGTTTGTCACTGCACCCTAAAAACCACAAGATTTTTCTTCCCTGAAACATCCCCCCAGTAGTATGTGACAGTCCCTGGAGAGCAGAGACTGTTTTATCTATTTGTATTCCCAACACTTAGCACAGTGCTTTGCATATAGTAAGCCCTTACTAAATGCTTCCCCCAACCAGTTAGTCTCTTTTGATCCGAAATCAATGATCTAATGATACTCTCTGAACCTCAGTTTCCTCATTTGTAAAATGGGAATAATAATACCTGCACCACTTCACAGGGCTATGGATTGTAGCTCCTTGAAGGCAGTGATTCATCATTTCCATGTATGTCCCTAGTGCCTAGCAGATAGTAGGTGTTCAATAAATACTTGGTCAAGTCGGCAGCCGAAACTCAATGAGGTAATATGAGTAAAGTCTCTCACACACTTTAACTACTATCTATGTGCCTATTGTTATTGTGGTAATCTTCTTTATGTAATTTTGTCTTTTCCACTGGAATCGGGGAGATGTTCTTGCCCATTTTCAAACCTGGCACCATGAAATCAAACAAAATTGAACAAAAAGACTGGATGAAGAGGATGACAATGTTGCGTAGCGGGTGGTCTCATTGAAGATGCTACCTCCAAAGACCCCTTCTGATGTAGCTGTAAATGGCTCATTTTCAAAATGAGACATGCCAGGAGATCAAAGCCCAGGCCCATCTTTAAAATTCCTAGTGTTGAATTAGAGCCATTACAGTAATAAACCATCCTGCAATTGAGCCAGCAAGAGGGCATTAATTAGGAAATTAAGCCCCATGGGTGACTGATTGTATTGAGTCCTTTTCAGGACATAACAAGTCTTTCTACAATATATTAATTTTAATAAAAACTATATTCTGTTTGCTCTTTAGCTAATACACAGAGTTCTATCTTGATTAGGCAATTCAGGATGGTTTAAATAATATCAAGATTTTTCTACAACAAAATTAGTATTAATTATACAAGCAATTCATAGGAGCTTTGCTTGGGAGCTCATCTTCCTAGGGCAATGTGGCTGGCTGCTCTCCCTGCTCCATCCCCCAGGCAAGGAGCAAAGCTGAGCCTTCTTCAGAGATGGTTGCCATCCTGGCTGAACTCTCGCCTTCACTGGCACATTCCCAACAGCCCTGCCCATTTGCAGATAGGCAGATTCATTCCTCCCCTCTACTCGCAGGGGAGATGCATTAAAATGTTGGCTGGGCTGCAAAGGCAGAGTGTCCTGCATTTCATTCAGAGTTGCAGATCCTACAGCTACATCTGTACCGTTTGGGAGGACCGGTCATCATTTTGTTTTCTCCTCTTTCAAGTCTCTGGTGGCAGCCTGGCTATTTCATCTGCTTCTAGGGGCTCAATACCTAGCAAACCACATTCCTGCCTCTGCCTCCTGGAATTAGGCTCTACTCTTTTGACTCCAGGGAATAAGGAGGTGTCAGCCTTGCTCTCCTCAGACCTGGTCAGACCCTATCTAGAACATAGGGCTCTTACAATTTAGGAAGATTCCTTTCTTACAATTTAGACCTCAGTTTCCCCAACTGTAAAATGTGAGGTTGGATTATTTTGTCTTTCAGGTGCTTCTCAAATAGGATGTAATCAACACACTTAGCAAATGCCTACTATGTGCTATGTAGTATACTTACGACCTACTTCCTATCCATTATCTACGACATTATCTCCCTACTGTTTGTTTTCGCATGGGCTGTCCCCACACCTGGAAGGCACTGAGCACCACATTTTAGTAAGGTCATTGTGTGTGTGTGTGTGTGTGTGTGTGTGTGTGTGTGTGTGTATGTGTGTTTTAGGCAATTGGGGTTAAGTGACTTGCCCAGGGTCACACAGCTAGTAAGTGTCAAGTGTTTGGTCTGAGGCTGGATTTGAACTCAGGTCCTATTGACTTCAGGGCTGGAGCTCTATCCACTGAGCCACCTGGCTGCCCCAAGTAAGGTCATTGTTAATCTGATTAACATCCAAAGAAAGGCAGCCAGCCTTGTGAAGGACTTTAATTTCATAATGCATATATTACTTTGGGCAGGTGATTTATTCTCACTGGATTTTCATTTGTGAAAAAAGAAAGCTGATATGATTAAATTCTGACAAGCAACCAACGTACATTTATTTAATGACTACTTACTATAATAATGATGATGATTATTAATATTTATAAAGCACCTACTATGCACTATGCTAAGTGCTTAACTGTTATTATCTCATTTGATCCTTACAACAACCCTGGGAAGGAAGTGCTATTATTACCCCCATTTTACAGAGCAGGAAATTGAGGTAAAGAGGGGGTGAAATGACTTGGCCGTGTTCACATAGCTAGTAAGTGTCTGAGACCAGATTTGAACTCAGGTCTTCTTGACTCCAGGACCTGTGTTCTACCCAGGTCCTGATGATACAAAGACAAAGATGAAACATCCCATGCCCTCAAGGTGTTTATATTCTAGTGCCTATCACAGTGGGAATACTTAATAAATGCGTGATGGTGGATTGATTTGAGACTCAAATGAACTAGATTATTTGAAAGTCACTTCCAACTCAGGAATTCTTTGATACATCAATCAGTTCAAGGAACCAGGCATGTGAGCATGCTTGGTTCAGAGCAGAGAACACAGGGCAGGGGGGAGAGGCATGACAGCTGGGTTCAAGTATTGAAGAACTGTTGAGTCACATTGAATACAGATTAGACTAGCTTTGTTTTGTCCTGGAGGGAAGAACTAGGGAGTGGGTAGCAAAGGAAGCTAGTGGAAGTTGGCAGGAGAACTTCCTGGCAATGACAGCTATCCCAGCATGAGATAGGCTTCTTCAAGAGGCATTGGTTCCCCTTGGTTGGAGGTCTTCAAGCATAGGTTGAATGGCCACTCATGGAGGATGTTGTAGGTGGTGGGTTTTGGATCCGGTCTGGCCTAGAGTAAATGGTCCGAGGTCCAAGGTCCCTTCTAGCTCAGAGATTCTGTGTCTGTGACAGATCAGCATTACCTCCAAGCAATTTCCATGGGTTGCCATTCTTCCATGTGGCAAAGGGGAGGGGGCAGGGAGGGGAAAAAATCACTGGCAAAGCACAGTGTGCACTTATTAGAAACTCTGCTAAGCCCAGCTCAGGGATTTGCTACATGTGTGATTCAAGGCCCATCATTAGCCCTTACTCCATTTAGGAAGCAAGCTAGGGCTGTTTGCACCCCAAGGAAGGCTGTGCATGTCCCTGCAATCATTAAAAAACAGGTGATTTACTGCATTGCCGAGCTCCCAATTTGCAGTGGTTTTGCCTGCCAAGAGTTTACTGCAGGGACCTTTCTGCCCCCAGAACTCGCACTGTCTTTTAAATGATTTAATGATGGTCTTTTGCTTTTTTGCCCTGCTCTGCTTTCAGAAGTGGGTCTAGGTAAAAACAAAGGTCCCATAGAGAGCAAAATATTTATAGCAGAATTCTTTTTTTTTTAATAGCAGAATTCTTTGTGGTGGCTATGGAAACAAAGTAGACACCCACCAACCAAGGAATGCCAAACGAGTTGGGGTCACATGGATGTAATGGAATCTTATCATCCTGCAAGAAATGACGAATGTGAAGAATTAGGAGAGGCATGGAAGGATTTATCTGAGCTAATGGAAAAGCGCAGCAAGCAAAACCAGGAAAACAACATATAACATGGCTGTGACAATGTCAACCGAAAAGATGACAACAGCAAACCAAACAAAACTCAATACTGCAAAATTACAATGACCCAACTGGGCGCCAATGAGGAGATATGAGAAGACATCTTCCCACTTCTTTGCAGACATGGGGGCCTGGGGGTTTAGACCAAGATGTGAAACTCACAAGCCCAATCAGCAGGCAAAACTCTCCAGTGCCACCTGAAGCTGACTCAAACTGGGAAATGTTGAACGGAATAAATAAAAATACAATATAACACAGATAATGTCATTTGTGGGTTTTTAAGTTAATACACTACCAGTCCCCAGGGACTATTCCCATTTGGATTTTATGCCAATGGTTTAGAAAACCACATATAATGGTAGACTTCAAAAATGTTTTACAGTTTTGCTGAACTTTTTTTTCCTTTTCTCCATTTAGTCTGGGTGATAAGGGATGACTGGGGTGGGGAAAGGATATACTGGGAAATATAGGTGATGTAAAAACAAAAGATACCATTAAAATGCAATTTTTAAAAAAGAATCAGTCTAGAATGATATCTCCATCATTAACATATCACATAGATGTTTCATGAGTACTTTTACCCACTCAAAATATCCTCCTCATGGCCCCCAGGATTTTTCTAGAGCCGACCCAGGCCAAAGTTTTCAGGGATGCCTACCATTTTTTTTTCAATCCACCCAACTGCCAAATTGATATTCCTAAGAACACACACTACCCTGCATGCAAAGCATTATTCCCCTTGTATCAGTCGGTCAATAAACATTTATTAAGTACCTATTATATAGTCTGACATTGTGCTAAGTACTAGGGATACAAAAAAAGGGCAAAAATACAGTCCCTGCTCTCAGGGAGCTCACAGTCTAGAGAGAAATAACATACAAACAGTTCTGTACAAGCAAACTATAGTCTGGAGGGACTGGAGAATCTCAGAGGGAAGGCATTCATGTTAAGTGAAGACCAGGAAAGATGTCTTGTCAAAAGAAAATTTTAGCCGAGACTTGAAGGCAGGAGGTGGAGATCAGAAGGAAGAGCATTTTAGGGGCAAGGGGGACAGCCAGGAAACTCCCAGCCTAGAAATGGAGTGTCCTGTGTGAGGAACAGCCAGGAGGCCAGTGTTGTTGGAGAGCAGAGTATGGAGTACTGACTGTGCCCCCTGCCTGCAATCATCATCATCACCATTATCATCATCATCATCATCATCACCACCACCACCACCACCACCATCACCACCACCACCACCACTACCACCATCACCACCACCACCATCATCATCATAATCACCACCATCATCACCACCCCCACCATCACCACCATCACCCCCACCATCATCATCATCATCATCATCATCATCATCATCATCATCATCATCACCATCACCACCATCACCCCCACCATCATCATCATCATCATCATCATCATCATCATCAATCACCATCACCACCATCACCCCCACCATCATCATCATCATCATCATCATCATCATCACCATCACCACCATCACCCCACCATCACCATCATCACCATCACCATCATCATCATCATCACCATCACCATCACCACCATCACCCCACCATCACCATCATCACCATCACCATCATCACCATCACCATCATCATCATCATCACCATCACCACCACCACCACCACCACCACCATCATCATCATCACAATCATCATTCTCCCTTCCTTTAAATCTCAGTTCAAATCCCACCTTCTGTAAAAGGCCTTTCCTGGCCCTCCTCAATACTAGTGTCTTCCTATTGAGATGACCTCCTGTTTATCCAGCACACATTTCCCTCTTTAGACTGTGAGCTCCTTGAATGTAATGGAATACTATCATGCTATAATAAATGATGAGGAGGCAGAATTAAAAAAAAAAAACTTGGAAACATTTACATGAACTGATGCAGAGTGAAATGAGAAGAACCAGAACATTGTACACAGTAACAGCCACATTATGGGATGACTGACTTTGACAGACTTGGCTCTTCACAGTGACACAAGAATCTAAGATAATTCCAAAAGATTCATGATGGACATTGCTATCCACAGCCAGAGAAAGAACTATGGAGTCTGAATGCAGATGGAAGCGTACTATTTGCTCTCCTTTTCCTTTGTTTTACTGTTTCATTCTCGTGGTTCCTCCCATTAGATCTAATTGTTCTTTACATCATGACTAATGGGAAAATATGCTTAACATGAATGAGCATGTAGAGACTACATCGGATTGTATGCCATCATGGGCGGGGGGGAGAAAGAGGAGGGGAAGAAAATTTAAAACTCAAAATCTTATGGAAGTGAATGTTGAAAGCTAAAAATAAATGAATTTTTAAAAAAGACTGTGAGTTCCTTGAGGGCAGGGGCTGTCTTTGCCTTTCTTTGCTGTATCTCCAGTATTTAGCACAGTGTCTAGCATACAGTAAGTACTTAATAAGTGTTTTTGACTTGACTGAAATATACAGTCTCTACTACAAAATGCAAATACCTGTGTTTGACATTTGAAGCATTTCCCAGTCTACCTCCAGCCCCCCTCTCCAGGTTGTACACATGACCCTCCCCTTTACACACGCTATGCTCCAGCCAAAATGTCCAGTTCCATGTTCCCTACATAGAACATTCCACCTCCTGCCTTTGCACAGATGATCACTCCATCCCCCACACCACCCCACACCAATCTGAGAAGACCTTCCTGCTCCTCTTGGCCTCTTAAGACTCCCTAGCTTCTTTCAAGGCTTAGTTTAAGCATCTCCACCTACATGAAGACTTTCTTCATTCATCTTGTTGTTACTACCCCACTCCATCACTCCATATTTTTTTGGACTTAGCTATGATACATGCTGTCTCTCCCCAGGAGAATGTAAATACTTTCATTTTAAAAAGCTACAGGTGAATCTTATTAATCTTTAAAAAAGAAAAGCTAGCTGTACAGAACAGAGACCTTGGTATCATGGATGATTCTCTGTATTATGATGTATGAGGAATTGTAACGTGTAAGTTCAGAAATTTTTTAAAAATTAAAATTGACAAAAAAGAGAGAGCGAGACCCACCACTTTATTTCTTAGTACCAAATAGTTTTGGCTAAGAAATAGAGTGGTGGATCAGTGCAATAGATTAGGTACACAAGACACAGTAGTAAATGACTGTAGTAATCTACTGTTTGATAAGCCCAAAGACTCTAACTTCTGGGATAAGAAGTCACTATTTGACAAAAACTGCTGGGAAAACTGGAAAATAGGATGGCAGAAACTGGGCATAAACCAACATCTCACACCATATGCCAAGATAAGGTCAAAATGGATGCATGATTTAGACATAAAGGATGATACCATAAGCAAATTAGGAATGCACAGAATAGTTTACCTGGCAGATCTAGGGATGAAGGAAGAATTTAGGACCAAATGAGAGATAGAGAACATTCTGAAATGCTAGGTGGATAATTTTGATTACATTAAACTAAAAAGGTTTTATGCAAATGAAAACAATGCAACCAAGATTAGAAGGAAAAGAGAAAGCTGGGAAACAATTTTTACAGCAGTGTTTCTGACAAAAGTCTCATTTCTCAAATATGTGGAGAACTGAGTCAAATTTATAAGAATACATGTCATTCCTCAACTGATAAATGGTCAAAGGATATGAACAGGCAGTTTTCAGATGAAGAAATTAAAGCTATTTATACTCATATGAAAAAATGCTCTGAATCACTACTGATTATAAAAATGCAAATTAAAACAACTCTCAGGTACTACCTAAAACCTATCAGACAGGCTAATATGACAGAAAAGGAAAATGATAAATGTTGGAGAAGATATGGGAAAATTGGGACAGTAATGCATAGTTGGTGGAGTTGTGAACCAATCCAACCGTTCTGGAGAGCAATTTGGAACTATGACCAAAGGGCTATAAAACTGCATACCCTTTTATCCAGCAATACCACTACTAGGTTTGTATCTCAAAGAGATCATAAAAATGGGAAAAGGACCCACATGTACAAAACTCTTTATAGCAGCTCTTTTTGTGGTGGCAAAGAATTGGAAATTGAGGGAATGCCCATCAACTGGGGAATGGCTGAACAAGTTGTGGTATATGAATATAATGGAATACTATTGTGCTATAAGAAATGATGAGCAGGCAGACTTCAGAAAAACCTGGAAAGACTTGTATGGACTGATGCTGAGTGAAATGAGCAGAACCAGTAACAGTAACATTGTATGATGACCAATTATGATTGACTTAGCTCTTCTCAGCAAGACAATTCAAAAAGACTCATGACAGAAAAAGCTATCCACATCCAGAAAAAGAACTTAGGAGTCTGAATGCAGATCGAAGCATACTATTTTCACTTTTTTTTGGTGGCTTTTCCCTTTTGTTCTGTTTCTTCCTTCACAACATGACTAATGTGGAAATGTTTCCATGATTGCACATGTATAAGCTACATCAGATTGCTTGCCGTCTTGGGGAGGGAAGGGAGGAAAGCATAAAAATTTGGAACTCAAAATCTTATAAAAATGAATGTTGAAAATTATCTTTACATGTAATTGGAAAAAATAGAATACTATTAACAGGGAAAAAAAGGGAAAGAAGATGTAAGTGCCCTGAGGGCAGGAAATAGAGAACTAGGTAGTATTATGGACTCTTGTCTCTGTCCCATGGTACATATGGAAATGTAATATTTAAGTTTAGAATTTTAAAAAATTAAAATAAAAAAGAGAAAATGTAAGCACCTTGAGGGCAAGGACACTGACTTTTGTCTTTATATCTCCATAGACTAGCACAGTACCAGGTGCATAATCAGTGTTTAAAAACATTGCTGAATTTAGTGGAATGTCCTCACTCGGTCAATCAACCTGCCCTAATGCTGGGGGTGGTCCAGAGGCTCCCCTCAAGCCCGTTTGCAGGAAGGCTGTCACTGAATCTGAAGGAATGAGGACACCAGAATCAGGGAGCTGGAGACCTGAAAGCTACAGAGGATCCTGCCAGCCGCAGACTCTGGTCTCTCTATTTGGATAGCCTCTTGGACAGCAGACAAGAATAGCTGTGCACTGTATCAGGTACTGCCAGCGGGCAGACCCTGAAACTGGCCAAAGCAAGCTTGATTTTGTCAGGTGGGGTGTGTGTGTGTGTGTGTGTGTGTGTGTGTGTATGTTGGGGGTGAGGTGTGCATTTCTATCATTCTCTATTCTTTCTCTTCCTTTTTCTTCTTTCTCTGCCTTCTTTTTCTCTTCTCTCCTTCCTTCATCTCTTTTTGTCTGTCTGTCTGTCTGTCTGTCTGTCTGTCTCTCTCTCTCTCTCTCTCTCACACACACACACACACACACACACACACACACACACACACACACACACACCGCTCTTGGAGCCCAGACTGCTCTCCTCACTCCAGTTGAACACAGCCTACTCTTTCTAACCAAGACAAGCCTATTTTAGAAGAGAGAGACCCCAGGTGGCCTCCCAGAGACAGCTGTCAAAAAGACAGACAGGAAGCAGAAGCAGTCCCAATGCAATGATTTTCAGGTTCAAGGAACCTTCTTCCCAGGTTTGGAAAAAAATATCATGGCAAGACATTGAGGTGGGGGGGTAGGGAGGGAGAGAGATTTCATTTTGAGAGTCAGGTTCTCAACACCATCCCTGCCTCACCTTCCAGAATAAAACCTCCCAAGATGCTCCCCCTTCCCCCAGCCCAAATGTCTTGTGATAGTCTGAGATGGAGACTATAATTACAGACAATAAAAGCTGTGGCTACTGCTGAAGGAGGAATTTTCATAACTTCTAACAATGGGGATGCAATACTAAGTGAGGCCCAGAGAGGAAGGGGAAAAATTGCGGGGTGAGATAATGAATTTGGTTGCTACTAGAATATGTGTGTGTGTGTGTGTGTGTGTGTGTGTGTGTGTGTGTGTGTGTGTGTGTGTGTGTGAGAGAGAGAGAGAGAGAGAGAGAGAGAGAGAGAGAGAGAGAGAGAGAGAGAGAAGAGCAGGGGGGAGAAGGAGGGAGCAAGAGAATTCAGTTGGGAGCTACGGAACCAGAAACAAGAACCTGCCTATTAAAAGGGCAAAAAAATAAAGGAAGCTAGGAAAGGGGAAAGCTTTGCTTCATTTTGGACTTCTCCCTCCCGGGCTCACAGCTCTCTGCACACCTGCCTGATATAATCAATAGCCTCAGGAGCAGAGCCCACAATATTTCCCACTGGGCCTCAGGCTCCACACTTGTGAAATAACGAGAGCTAAATCAGATGATCTCTAAGGGTCCCTCCCAGCTTGGACATTCTCTGTTCTAAGGCCCCTCCCAGTTCTGACTTTGCATGTTCTAGGGTCCTGACATTTTCAGAAAGAACACAGCAGCGAAAAATAAATGAATGAATGAAATGAATGAATAAAAAGAACAGAGTGGCACTAGAATGTAAATCCAGTTCCTCTGATTAAAATCCGTCATTCTTTTCACTCTCACATTGACCCTTAATCTTGTCTCTGTCCTGTCTGGTCCAGCACCCTCCTCCCCTCAAAGCAAACCACGCTCTCCATAGCTGGGACAGTCAACAGCCCTTCTAGCCTTCAGCCCAGTCATTGGGGAGAACTTGGCTAATTACACCTTGGAGAAGGGATTTAGAGATGGTTTCAATTTAGAGGAGCTTGGCCCAAGGGTAGAGGGATTGGAGGGCACTTAGGAATATAGATAAAAAGGACCTTAAGACTGCCCATTCTAACCTCCTCATTTTGCAGATCAGGAAACCAAGTCTCAGAGAAGTAATGTGATTTGCTCATAATCTAACAAGGACTTTAGTAAGCATTTCCTATATTCCAGGCACTTTGATAAGCAGTGGGATTGCAAAGGCAAGAAGAAAACAATCCCTGCCCAAAAGGAGCTTATATTCTAATTGGAGAGGGGAGGGACAATTCATACATAACCAGATCCATACAAGACACATTCAGAGGAGGTACAAGGGAGTCTGAGCAGGGAAGCCAATGCTCCGTCTTTGTTTTCAAAGAGGACTAATAACATCATTGGATGATGTCTTGACTGGTTCATGAATTGGATTTAAGTGAGGCAGTAGTCTCTGAGGGGTAGGTGGGACCAGGCAAGGCCTCCTGAAGAAGGTAACATTGGAGATGAGTCTTAGAGGAAGCCAGGGGTTCTAAGAAGCAGTGGTTAGGAAGGAAAGGATTCCAGAAAGCACAAAGTCATGGTGGTTGGAGATGGGACACTATGTAAGCAAAGTGGTCAATATGGCTAAAACCTAGAGTAAGAAGACTGGGAAGATTGGAAGGGTCCAGGTTGTAAAGAGCTTTAAATGCCAAATAGGAGTTTAATTTATTCCTAGATGTAATAGAGGACCTTTGGAGTTTATTGAGTAGGAAAGCGACATGATTAGATCTATGCTTCAGGAAAATCTCTTTGGCAGATGAATGAATCATAGATTGGATCAGGGAGAGGCTAGAGGCAGGAAAATGAATTAGATACTATTATAATAGCCCAGGTGAGAGATGGCATGGGCCTGAATTAGGTGAGTGGCAGCCATGTGAGTAAAGCAAAGAGGACAGATGGGAGAGAGGCCCACAGGAAAGAAATGATCAGATTAGTCAACTGATTGAATATGGCGGATGAGTGATAATGAGGTGTCAAGAATGACATGGTAAATGTCTGAGGCAGGACTGGAAACCAGGTTTTCCTACCTCCATATCTAGTACTCCATCCAGAGCATCATAGTGAACCCAATACATTCTCTCCATTCTCCTTTTAAGTTACAACAGCCAGAGAGAAGTGACTTTTACACTTCCTCAGGGGACTACCCAATTGGCATGTGCCAGGTCTATCCTCGACCTATCCTACTGGGTTGGACCATCATCTGAAGTTCTGTGATATCATCTTCTGGCTTCAGGGAACCTGGGCTTTCTCTTTTCCAGCCAATCAGGAGAATAGATGCTCTTAATGAACCCCGTTAGCTCCACAGAGATGTAGGTACCATTCTGCCCTAGCCCCCAAGCTCTAAGCTTCCTTTCACACAAAATCACAGAATGTCTAAGATGGGAGGGACCTCATAGCCCAGTCCACATGTCAGAAGGAACTCTAAAACAACATATCCACCACAAGGGCTTATCCAGACTCATCTTCAAAGATCTCCAGTAAGGAGGAAATTAGCTATTTCTGGAGGCAGCCCATTGCACGCTGGGACAGCTATAATTGTTAGGAAGTTTTTTTCACAACCTCCAGCCCAAATCTGCCTCTTTGCAACTTCCCTCCCATGCTCCTAGTTCAGTCCTCTGGGGCCAAGCAGTACAAAGCTAATCTCTCTTCCTGGTGACAGCCAATTCTTCAACTCTTCCAGAAATTAGCTTGTGAAATTAGAGCCTATTGAAAAACTTGCTTCAGTCTAATATTGTTAGGAAAGTCAATCTGCTGCTTCATCAAAATCCAGTGCTGATCCACAGATACTTATTAAGCTTCTAACAAGGAGGAGAGAGCCAGAGGTGGAAGGAAACTAGTCTAAGCTCCCTTGTTTTACAGAAGAGGAATCAGAGACCCAGAAAAGGGGCATTTGGCAGTGGAAAGAGCACCAGATTTGGAACCAGAGGGCCTGGGTTCAAGTCCAAACTTTTCTACTTCCTAGCAATGTGACTTTGAGAAAAATGACTTCATTTCTCTGGATCTCAGTTTTCTCTTCTAATAAATGAGGAAGCTGGGCTACATGGTCTCTGAGGTCCCTTCCACAACTCTAAATCAATCAATCAATCAATCAATCAATCAGTCATTCAATCTCAGTCTCTGTCTCTCTCTCTTTCTCTGTCTTTGTTTCTGTCTATCTGTCTGTCTTTCTCTCTCTGTCTCTGTCTCTAGTTTTCTCTGTCTCTCTGTCTCTCTCTGTCTCAGCTGGGTGGTGAAGTGGATGAAGTACCAGCTCTGGAGTCAGCAAGACTCATCTTCCTGAGTTCAAATCTGGCCTCAGACAATTACTAGCTGTGTGACCCTGGTCAAGTCACTTCACCCTGTTTGCCTCACCTATAAAATGAGCTGTAGAAGGAGATGGCAAACCACCTCTGTATCTTTGCCAAGAAAACCCCAAATGGGATCATGAAGAGTCTGACACGACTGAAATGACTGAATAACAAAATCAATCTCTCTCTCTCTTTTTATAAAATTCAATACTGTCTTCAACTCTTCATTCATCCTCATTTATCATCTTCAGTGGAGTGCTGAATTTGTGATCCTCAGAGATTTGCCCAAGATCCAGGTTATAATAGAAGGTGGAGCTGGAATCTAAACCCAGCTTCTCCACCTTAAAACCAGGCATTTTTTTTCTCCTACACCATTCTGCCAAGTATCTGTAAGACTCGACTCAAATCCCACCTTCTGCCGTAAAGCCTTTCCCAGGTCCTGCCACTGCTAATGCCTTCCCTCTGATATCACCTTTCATCAAATGAGATATTGTTTGTAAAGTTCTTAGCACAGTACCTGGCACATACTAGGCACTATATAAATGTTTATTTCCTTCCCCTCTCTGTATAGATCTTGTTTATATCTAACTGTTTATACATTCTCTCCCCAATTAGAATGTCACTTCTTTGAGGGGCAGGGGCTGGTTTTACTTTTCTTCGAATGCTTAGGGCCTGGCACATCATAAGTGCTTAATCAATGCTTATTGACTGGCTGGTGGGCAGGCATAAGGGATTGTGCTAGGTTCAGAGGCTACAAAGACTAAAGAGGAACCTCTCCAGTTTCCAAGGAGTTTCCATTCTACTGGGGTTGGGGCACTGGGGAGGACCACAGGTACAGAGCCAAGTACAAGATAAGAGATCCCACATAACCCAGCTCCTGGGTTATACACATTGCTGTTCAACAGCCTGGATAACTGAGAGTGGAAGGCATTGGTTTCCAGCTTTGCTGACGTTTGTGAGGCAGAGGCTCAGGGCAATGAGGGGTCACCCTCTACCTCCCTCACGCTCCCCCCAAAGACTAAGCCTCAGCAAGTAGACTTAGTACATCTATTGCTTTTCCTCATCCCTCCCCTGCACCCTCCAGACCTCCCTGCCCCTTGCCAGGGCCCACTGCTGGCTTACCTTAAACATCTGTTTCACCTTCTGCCGGGGTAGATTCACATTCAGCTTATGAAGGAGCTGGAGGACCTCATTAATGCTCAGGCTGCCATCCCCATTCTTATCTGCCTCGTCAAACGTCTGCTTCAGCCACTTTGAGGCTGGGTTAGGGGCCACACAACAGCTGGCCTGACCCGGCCCAGCCCAGTCCAGCCCGGCCCCCAACAGCATCCCTTAATGCAGCCCATGACCCAAACACTCCCATCCTGATCCTGTCCCTCCCCTGGGCCATCTCATCCCTCAGACCTTTCTCAGTTCCACTGCCCAAACCTGGGCAGAGCAGACACAGAGGTTGTTGGGCCTCTGTTGATGGGCCTTGACATCCAATCTCAGATTCTCAGGGTGGTGGTAGAAGGGGATCTGAGACAACAACCCCATTTATAGGATGGGAACATTTTCTTAGGCAGTTAAAAGGCAATGTGGTATAGGAGAAACAAACTGTCACATTCTCTTCCCTAAAAATATGAATATAAGATCCTGGTGAAAAGAAATGGTTTCATTTCTGTTTTTGAGTCTCCAGTCCCTAGGACAGTACCTGTCACATAGCAGGCACTTAATAAATGCTTGTTTGATTAGCTGATTGGAATCAGAGCCAGAAGACTCCAACTCTACTGACTACTGGGCCTTGGGTCAGTTCCGTATTCATAGAGATGGGAACTGGACCTATCTCATGGACTAGGGAACTCCCAGATGAGAAAACTCCCTCTACCCATACCGATGCAAGTTGCCACCTTCTCTGCAGTTTACAATCCTAATAGAGTTGCTCAGAGCACTAGAGGGTTTAAAGTATAAATGTATAAAGTACTGTGCCAAGTGCTGGGAATACAAAGAAAGGCAAACAAAACAAAACAAAACACAAATCCTGGTCCCAACTCTCGGGGAGCTCGCAGACTACTGTGGGAAACAAGTCTGTTGCTCTCCACCATTGCCTTTCGACAAGGAGGTCTTAGAAGATAAAGTTGCTATTTGTCCTTCATTCTCAAAGAGGACCGTGACATCACAGAGGTGATGCCATGACATGCAAGTGAATTGGATTTAAGTGAGGGAAGGCTGTGCAGTCACCAGCCTCACTTTCTCCTCTGGAGCCGTCTGGGTCCACTGGCCAGACACACATCAGGATGACTGGAGATGGCCTTTATTAGTTGAAGTTACATTTACAGGGAAGGAGGAGGGTAGAATAGACTACCTCCTGAAAATCACTATCCATCCAAAGATTCTACAACTACCTCCTTGCTCACCCCACCCCCAACTCCAGTTCCAAAGGATATTGGTCACGAGTTCTCTGGCGTTTGGACAGACTGTCCTCATCACTGATTCCTGCCATCAGGTACCGGAGGCCTGTGATCCAGGTTCGAGCTTCTTCTCCATTGGAGGACACGAGGTCCAGCGACTCCATGTGGTCCCCATAGTAGATGCTGAAGCAACAGTTAGGGTCAAAGCTCCCATCAGCATAGCGCTGGAAAATCTCTGATTGCTTTCCTTCACACACCTCCTGGACGGAGTCGATGGAGACTGAGGAAGAGAGGAGACAGGAAAGGTCAGAAAGGTGAGCTAGTATTTATATGGAGGAAAGTATGTTTTGTTTTGTTCTTTTACAATTGTCATCTCATTTGATCCTGGGAGGTAGGTGCTATTATTGTCACATTTTACAGATGAAGAAACTGAGGCAGAGATGAAGTGACTTGCCCAGAGTCACCTAACTAGTAAGTGTCTGAGGCAGAATTCAAACTCAGGACTTCCTGTCTCCAAGTCTAGAGCTCTACCTATTGTATCACCTGGATGCCAAGGAAAATTGTCAACAGCTTTGTCATTTTCCCTTTTTGTGTCCCCAATGTGTATATGAGGCATCCTTGTATATAGTGGGTATTCACAAAAAAGAATGTGCCTGAATGAATTAGGGATAGAATTCAGTGAGAACCCTAGACCCAGCTCCTCAGAACATATGCTGAGCAATGAATTCTATCTCCTCTAGGAAACCTGCCCTGATTCTCTCCCTGGCCCCCTCCCCTTATTGGCCATCTTCCCTCTGCCATCTGCCATAGCATTTTTCACCTCTCTTGAGAACTTGTATAATTTTTATTTGTGTAGATGACCCAACTCCCCTTAACTAGGCTATAAACTATGTGAAGACAGAGATGGTCTTATCCAAGCTTTTCCCTCCACCTCTCTGCCTCTACCTCTCCTAACCCCCAGGAATATTCTTTGTACACAAGTAATAATAATATTTGACAATATGGTAGCGTAGCAGGAAGATCATAGAATTTGGAACTGGAGACTCTGGATTCAAATCCCATCATGAAACCTTGGACAAGTCATCTGACCTACCTGGGCCTCAGTTTCCTCACCTGTAAAATGTGGGAGATTGGATAAGGTCCATTCCAGATTGTACCCACTGATATCACAGATTTATATCGCGCCTTAAGATTTTCAGAACACTTTACCTCATCTGAGGCTCACAGCCACCCCTGGGAGGTGGTGTTCTTATTACCAGGCTCTTTTTACAGATGAGGAAACTGAGGCTCAGAGACATGACATGATATGCCCAGAGTCACTGAAGCAGTAGGCGAGGTGGGATTTGAATCCAGGTCCTCCTCACAACAAGACCAGCTCTCTCTCCAGGACACTGTGCTTCCTCTCTAGCAAGTGCTTGATAAATGTCTAATTGCATTGATTCCTTCTTCTTAATAGGTTGTAGAAAACTAGCAATCATTGATCACACAGACAGTGAGTACCTCCCTGCCCTGGCATATATCCTAATTAAGCCTGAAATTGAGTCTCCACAACCTTAGGGGAGTTTAGGGTAGAGGTGGTGTGAGATGTCCAAGGAGGAAGGAGGCATGAGGGTTTAGCCTTACTGCTCTTCCATCTCCTGCCCTGAGTCAGATTCAGGCTCCAGGCTGGGAAACTGGCCTAGAAACCCCTTCTCTGTTCCTCTCCCTGCCCTCCCTCCCAACCAGGGCTCAGACAGGGTCAAAGCTGGGTGAAGGAAGGATTCTGACATGAGATGGGGGATGGGGGCACCTGGGGAGAAAAGAGAAGGGCAGCTCAGGTTACCAACTCTCCTCCCCTGCAGAGCCCTCTTCTTTCTGGTGGTAGGTTCCTCAGCCCTGACATGGGTCCAGGAACATTGCTGGGAAAATGTGAATGAGAATATTGCAGAGATACGGCTGTCTGGGAAAGAGAAGCCATCCAGCCTCTGGGCTGATGACCCTGCTCCGAGGAAAGCCCCATGCTAAGAGCAACAGGCAGCAGAGAAAGAAGCAGGTCAGCACTGCATTCTCCCCTCCCAGCCAAGGATGCTGGCTCTTTTCAGATTATTGGGGTGGGGCATACACCTGGGCTGTCTTTGCTTTGTGGTTGCTGGGCCAGGGGAGAAAGGGGCTAGTGAGGCTAACAAGCTGAGGCTTCACATTCCTGGAGGTGCAAGGGTAAAACATAGTACATGGTGGGGGAGGGGAGAAAGAAAGAGAGAGAGAAAGGGAGAGAGAAAGGGAGAGAGACAGAGACAGAGACAGAGAGAGAGACAGACAGAGACAGAGACAGAGAGAGAGAGAGAGAGAGAGAGAGAGAGAGAGAGAGAGAGAGAGAGAGAGAGAGAGAGAGAGAAGGGAGACAGAGACAGTGGTAGAGACAGAGACAGAGAATAGAATAAAGGAGGGAGGAAGAGGGAGAAAGAGAGAGAGAAAAGAAGAGAGGAGAAGAAAGGGAGAAGAGACACACAGAGAATAGAAGAGAGGAGGAGAGAGAAACTGAGGGAGGGAGGAAGGGTGAGAGAGAGGAGAAGAGGCAAGAGAGAGAGACAGAAGGGAGAAAGGATAGAAAAAATTGAGACTAGAAGAGCAGCAGTGAAACACCAATTCTATCATCTGAGTTCTGTCCCCACATAAATCTCCCCTCCAGGGACATGGAATTCTCCTGGGCTAGATGACAGGGGAGCCATCCATCTTTCCAATAACAAGGACTACTGAGGCCCAGGGCTGACTCTTTTATGTGTTTTCAGGCAGCTTCTTTCTCTAATCTTAGCCCAGGTTCTGGTAAAGGGTTTATTACGACTCCCAGGTTTCAAGGGGTGAGGGAGCTATTTTTGTCATTATTGTTGTTGTTATCTCATGCCTCTGAAAAGTAAGGGGAGTAAAGGCCTACAGGCAGGCTTGCAGTCCAAAGGGTAGGCTCTGTAGGAGAATCTTTGGGTGGGATGCAAAGAGGAAGATGGGCTAGCATGGGTGCTCAGGGAGAAAATGCCCACACCAATGAGATCTCAGCCCTCAAGTCTGCAAAGTGCTTCCTACATTATCTCACTTGATCTTCACAAGACCCTTGTGAGATAGGCCATGTAACTATCCTCATTTTAGGATGGAGGAAACAGAGGCTCAGAGGCTACTTCTCTAGGACCACACAGTTAATGAGAGTCTAAAGCAGACTTCAAAGGTCTTGACTCCTGACCCAGTACTCTAGACATTATACCAGTCAAGACTGCCAAAAATCTGCATTGAACTCCTTACACTTCCCTACCACACTATAGGCTGGGAGACATAGTAGAAAGCCTGAGTTTAAATTGCTGCAGCTGTGAAACCACCCTGAGCCTCAGTTTCCTCATCTATAAAATGAAGGGACTAGACTAATTGACCTCTAAGGACCCTTTCAGCTATATGACCCTGGTCCTAAGATCCTAGAAGCACCTAGGACACCCAGCTGCTAGCAAGTGTCTAACACAAGCTTCAAACCCAGGTCTTCTGTCTCCCGCATTAAGCTTCATGCCTTCTCAAGGCATGGCATGGTGGGAACATTTGGAGAGCCCTTGAAGGCTATAGGAGTGAAGTACAGGCTTTGGAATGGTCATTGGTTTGAAAAGCTCTGTTGCTGGGCTATACGCCTGCTGTTTGAGTCAAGTCAACAAGCCAGGCACTGTGCTAAGTGCTGAGTGTGAGGACCAACTTGGCTAAGTCTATAGATTTAAGCCCCCCGGGAGATCAGCCTCAAAGTGATAGATTTTTCAGCCCTAGGTGCTCTCCCAGACCACCTGTTAGGTCATGAATTGGGAAAAGGAATGGTAGAGGGCAGACTTGTACAGATTCAATCATAAATCTTGGAAGTGTTGAAGCAAAGAGCATTGCAAATGTCAGGAAAGAAAGGTGAACTCAAGAGATGTTTTAGGGAAAAGAAGGAAAGGGAAAGGGGGGAAAAAGGAGGAAAAGGAAGGGGAATGGAATGGGTAAGACAAAGAGGAAGAGAAAAGAGGAAAAGAAGGAGGGAAGGAAAGGGGAAAGACAAAGAGAAAGAGAGGAAGAGAAGGGGTAAGACAGGAGAAGCAGAAGGGGAAGAGGGGTAAGATGAAAGAGAAGAGAAGGGGGGAAGAAAGGGAAAAGGGAAAGGGTAAGATAAAGAGGAAGAGGAGGGGGAAGGGAAGAGGGAAGAGGGAAGGGAAGGGGGAAGACAGAGGGGATGAGGAGGAGGGAAGAGGAGAGAAAAGGACAAAAGGTAAAGAGAAGAGGAGAAAAGAACGGGAAAAGAAAAGGGAAGAAAGGAACACCTCTTCTTCAGGAAGTGTAAGATCCTGTGATGAAAGCTAGATTCATTCTGGATGTTCCGGTGCCTGAATGTTAGAATCTTGACTATAATAAGTAGTTAGAAAAGAAAGCTAACTGGCCCTGCTTGACCCCTCGCTTCCTCGGAAGACACTGTCGATCTGCTCTCCTTCCTTTGAGTTCCTGTCTTCTGAAGCCTGAGTTATGTGAGGGAGTGGAGGGGTCTGAAGGGGGAATCACAGAAAGCTCTGGGGCCAATTTTAGCCTCCTTGAATCACATAACTAGCTTTATCTGTCCACCTCTGGCTTCTAGGAGGATGGTAATGAGAAGTGGGCACCAGCAACTTGTAGATTGTCTTCTCTGTAAGCAAGGGGATTACAGGGCTGGAGAAATGGGTTAGGGGGACAGCAGGCTCAGAGCTGCTGCTTTCCATCCCTCCCATCACTGGAAGCTGCCAGAAAGAAGACAGTGCAGACCCAGGGCTCGATTTCATTGCTGTGAGCACACAAAGAAACTCTCCTCCCTTGGCTTTTTCATATCATACCCAAGTCACTTCCTGTAAGAGGTTAGAGGGTTTAGAGTCAAAGGCCTCAGTTCAAATCTTGTTTCTAACAGACACGTGTCCTGAATAACACTGGGCAAGTAATTTGGCCTCTATAGTGTCCCCAGGCAACAGTAAATTACAGACAAATTGCTGATCTTCACAGGTGGAGGGAGTGTCCACACCAGGAACAAAGACAAAATTACTCTCCATGTTTGAGAGCTGGAAGAGGCTGTAGAGTTCACTTAGGCCAACCATCCTTATTTTTGCGATGGAAGAAAAAGAAGTCTAGGGGTTTGGAAGTTTCCCGTCCCCTAGTGGGAAATGTTTATAATCAACTAAATATTTATTAAGTGGCAACTAACATGCCTGGTGCTGGGGATACAGAGTCAAGAATGAAACAGTCTGTGCCCTCAAAGAGCTTCCAGTCTATTGGGGAAGCCAACATGTTAAGTGCATATAAAATAAATAGAAGATAATTTGGAGAGACGAAGGGAAGGTCTAGCTTCTGGGGGAGGCAATCACGAAAGGCTAGATGTAGAGGGTGGCAGGTGATATGAGTTTCGAAGGAACTAGGATTCTAGGAGTGAGTCCAAAGAAGCTACAGATTCCATTCAATCAGACTTTATTAAACACCTTTTACATCTAAGGCACCATGCTAAATGCTAAGGATACACAGATTAAAGTGGGGAAAAATGGCTTGTTCCCACCCTCAAGAAGCTTACATACTAGCAGGGTATACACAACATGACCACAAGCAATTACATTCAAAGTGTGGATAAGGTAATTTCAAGGGAAAGGGCATTAACAATTGGGGAAGGAGGATCAGCAAAGGAATGTGAAAGTTATTGCTTGAGCTCAACTTAGAGAAGGAAGCCAAGCATTTCCTAAATGGTGGGTGTGGGAATTCAAAGCCAGCTTTCCTCGAAGGGATAAAAGGTCACCTTCACGAAGCCTTCCCAGATTGGCCCTGTCCTAACCAGACTTACATTTATTGTGTTCATCTTTTCTTAGTACTGACAAAGTCATCTTGCTTAACCATTCCTTGGCCACAAGAGTCCCCTAACTATTTCCTGAAGTGTGGCTAATCCTTCCTATATACCCTTGGATGGTGGGGCTCATGTTTGTTTGTTTGTTGGCGTTTGGGATTTTAAAGCTGGAAAGGATCTTCTACCAGACCACTTGGTCTGATTCCCTAAGCAGAAGCAGTAGAAGTGCCATGTGCTCTCGCCCTAGCTTTGGAAGGCCAAGCTTTTGAACTGTTTCAGATCTGGCGTGTAGATTCAGTGCATAGCAATGAAATTGAGCCCTGGGTCTGCACTGTTCTTTCTGGCAGCTTCCAGTGATGGGAGGGATGGAAAGCAGCGGCTCTGAGCCTGCTGTCCCCCTAACCCATTTCTCCAACCCTGTAATCCCCTTGCTTACAGAGGAGCCAATTTATGAGTTGCTGGTGCCCACTTCTCTTTGCCAACATCCAGCTCCTGAAGCTTCTAGTCCTAGCTCTGGGAAGTAAGCATGGGGAGAGCACAAGGGTTCTCAACCTGGCTTCCATGCATTGGTTTTTCTTTAAAATATTTTGATAACTGTTATTTCCATATCCATAGTTTCTTCTGTAATCCCATGTGCTTTATTTAGTGCATTTAAAAACGTGGTTTTGAGGAGTCCAGAGGCTTCAGCAGACTACAAAAGGGGAACATGACATTAAAAAATGTTGAGATGCCCTGGTAGGGTAAATGAGTGCTGGACTTGAAGTTAAGAAGATCTGGATTCAAATTCTAGTTCTGGCACTCATGGACGCTTCAACTTTCTGAGCCTCAGTTTCCTTATCTTTAAAACGGGATTATTCTACCTTTAGTGCCCAACACACAGGGTTATTGTAAGACTCATGTAAGATAATGAAAGTACTTGACGAAAAACGCAATGAGAAGTCAACTGTTATTACTTCAAACAAACATTTGCTAAACACCTACTTTGTGCCAGGCACTGTCCTAGTCAATAAGGAAGACAAATGTGAAAGCATAGCAGTCCTTGCTTCCTGCCTGTGGGAAGCTGCACAAGGCCCCATCACCTCTAGGTCTCAGTTTCCTCATATAAACTATAAGAAGGTTGGATTGGATGGCTTCTAAGGTCCTTTCCAACTCTGGATTCTGTGAACCTGTGATGATCTCTAAGATCACTTTCTACTGAGGTCTAGCATTCCTGAGCTGGAGGTCTCCATCATAATGCAGAATCCAACTACTCCTCTAGAGCTGGCCAAGCCCACCGTGACAGGGCTGAGCCCTACTGCTCTCCCTTTCCCTTGTGAATAGTCCCCCTATTGCACTGCTCAGGATACCCTCCTCATTCCCTGCCTGGAGGGCAGGGTCAGTGCCAGGGATGGCTAGTTTGTTGGAGGGAAGACAGTAAAGAGGGGAGAGAGGCGAGAGAAGACTTACTCCCTAAAATTCACATCAGGATTGACCCAAATGGAAGGGTAGGCGCTATACTTACTCTTGGCCTTCTCATTCTTCCGCGATGGCCGCCAGCGGATGCACGACTTGTGCTCATCCAGGTAGTAGAAGCGAACCAGGCCCTTAGAGCCACCTCGAAGCTTGACCATCTGAGTCCCGGCCTGCATGGAACTGATGCATCTTTCCACTAGAGAAACAAACAGAGAGAGGGGACAGATCAGTTCAGTGTCAGCCTCAGCCTTCATAGGATCACACACTTAGGAGCTGGAAGGGACCTTAGATAGCCCAACCTTTGCCTTTGTTTCAGAGGAGAAAACAGAGAGCCAGAGTGGTGAACTGATTTGCTGAGAGTTATACAACTAGGGGAAGAGCTCAAGATTCAAACCCAAGCTGTTTGATTGCATATAGGCCTAGATCATAGGGGCTTTTAACTGTTCATCCTCAGACAGGTAAATGGCACAAAACTATGAGTCTGGACATCAGGGTTCTAAATACATCTCTTACATCAAGTCATTTTGGGACCTTGGATACATTCCTTCTTCATGGGCCTCAGTTTCCCCTGTAAAATGAGATGATAGGGCTAGAGGACCTCGAAGGTCACTTCTGACTCTGACCTTCCAAGTCTTTAAAGGATTTTCTCAATGGCTTAAATTTCTATTAATTATAGGCAGCATAGGATGGTGGCTAGAGAGCCAGGCTTGGAGCTGGGGAGATCTGGGTGCGAGTGTTGGCTCCGGTACACAGTGGTGTGATACTGGGCAAGTCTGGGCCTCTCAGTGGACATTCTACAGGGCCTTTGGCAATTAGAGCAGGAGGATCTAGTGACTGAGTCCTGGACTTGGAGGACAAGAAGATCTGGGTTCAAAGCCTGCCTCTGGCATTTACTAGCTATGTTGTTGATTAGTCGTTTTCAGTCATGTCCGTTTGGGTTTTCTTGGCAAAAATACTGGAGTGGTTTGCTGTTTCTTTCCCCAGCTCACTTTACAGATGGGGAAACTGAGGCAAACAGGGTCAAGTGACTTGCCCAGGGTCACACAGCTATAGATGTCTGGGGCTAGATTTGAACTCAGAAAGATGGGTCTTCCTGACTCTAGGCTTGGTACTCTATCTTCTGAGCCACCTAGCTGACCTTACTAGCTATGTAACTCATCTGTAAAATGGAGATGATCCTACCTCACAGGGTTATTCTGACACTCCAATGAGAATGTATGTAAAACACTTTGGAAATTTTAATATAGTGCAGTGAAAGAGCAGCGGGGCTGGAGGCAGGAAAAGCTGACTTCAAATCTGGCCTCAGACACTGTGTGACCCTGGGCAAGTCACTTAACCTGTTTGTCTCATTTCCTCATCTATAAAATGGGGATAATAATAGCATCTACCCTCCCGAGGCTGATGTAAGGATCAAATGAGACATAATTGTAAAGCACTTAGCACAGTGCCTGGAATACAGAAAGTGCTAGATAAATGTTAGTTGTCGTTGTTGTTGTTATGTTACAGGGGAATTGCCAATCTGCACTGGTGGAGGGAGATTCCACACTAGGAATTTGAGAAATTGATGAAATCAAATTTGCCCCTCCCCCCACCATGTTGATGGTCATTATTTATATTTACTTAACATTTCACATTTTTCAACATATTTTTTAAATTACATTTTATTTTCACAATTTCTCTTTTTCTCCATCTTCTCCCCTGTGGCAAACTTCAATCGACTTTTATATCCATTATCTCATTGCTTCCCAACATCCCATTTGAGAAAGAGTGCAGATACCTATCATCAGCCCCATTAACCCTTGAACCCAGGTCTCCCGATTCCCAGTTCAGTGGGCTTTCTACTTCTGCTCATTTAAAAAGTTGGATTCCTTATTGTTAAGCATCTCTAGAAGACAAAATTGATGATGCCTGTGTCACCTCCTGAAATCTGAACCTCTACATGGCAATCTATTCTACATACTCAAGCCATTCTCTGGAATTGGGAAGAGAGTACAAAAGGTCTTCAGGTATCCCCAGATCCGAGGTGCACAGGGAAGGGGATTCCAAGCCTCTCACCATCTCCCTACCCCGAGTCTGTCCAGACCTTTTTGTTACTCTAGTTCCTAGGGACCAGTCCCTTCCTCTTGTCAACTGTCCTTGCTTGGATTTAAAGCATAGGATTTCAGAGTTCACTTCACACTTCTGCCTTCTTTCTTTGAAGAGCTTCTCTTACCCTTATCTTTGCCAAGAAAACCCCGAATGGGGTCACAAAGAGTCACAAAGAGTCTGACACAATTGAACAACAACAAAACCTCATTTTATAGTGAGGGAAACCAAGTCCCAGAAGGTTAATGATTTACCCAAGATCGCACAGGCACTAAGTGGGAAGAGCAGGTATTGAACAAGGTTCCTAGACTTTAAAATCAGGGCTCATTCACTACTCCACAATCTTCCCCAGGTCTTTAGGGTCCAGCGGAAGGCCTTTCCAACACACCCAGATCCACATTCATCTCCTTCTCTTCTGAATTCCTAATCTAAAATTTAGCACTGACTTTGAGATTGTATGCTTCCTCCTGTTATCCCTCATAGAACTGTGCAACTCCTGTCAAGTCATTTAACCTCTGTTTGCCTCAGTTTTCTCATCTATAAAATGGAGATAACACCTACCTCCCAGCTTTGTTGTGAGGATCAAGTGGGATAATAATTGTAAAACACTTGCCATGGTGCCCGACATGTTTAAGCACTAGAGGGTAGTGTTTTGAGTCATTTTTCAGTCATGTCATGTCTGACTCTTTGTGACCCCATTTGGGCTTTTCTTGTAATTCACCCAGGGTTACCCAGGTAGTAAGTGTCAGAGGTCAGATTTGAACTCAAGTCTTCCTGACTCCAGGCCCAGTACTCTATCCATGGTACCACCTAGCTGTCCCTGGCACCGTGTGTGTGTGTGTGTGTGTGTGTGTGTGTGTGTGTGTGTGTATGTACATGGATGGATGGATGTATATGAATGATAGAGCTGGATTGGAACAATATACTAGTGAATTTTCCAGAAGAGGGGAAACTGAGGCCCAGAGAAGGGAAGACAATACAATGATTGAGCAGCAAGGCCCCTACTCATCCCCCAGAATCCTGACTCCTCCTGCTATTCCCCTCTTCCTCTTACTGCACTCGGACAAGAAACACTTGTTGATTGACTGATGTCAGCTGTGAAGCTGTCCAAAGACCTCACTAGGTAAATAGGATCTGTTCCCTTTCCTGGACTCGGAGACACTTCATTCAGGGCTTTTGGTCATCTAAACCCTCAGAGGTTCAGAGAGAAATGGGATGCCCAAGATCACACAGAGAAAGTGTGGTGTAGTGGTTAAGGCACTGGACTTCTTAATTGGAAGTCCTTTGTTCAAATCCCACCTCAGACACTTACTAGCTGTGTAATCCCAGGGAAGTCACTTAACTCCTTTTGCCTCAGTTTCCTTAGCCGTAAAATCAGAAAGCTGAACTCAGTGACCTCTAAGGTCCCCCACCTGCTCTGATCCTGATTCCTTTTGTTTTTATGTGTATTGACAGGGCTTAGCACACACTATACCCCACACCTAGTTAAGTCCTCAATAAAGACTTGCTTGCTCCTTGACTGGCTGACTGACCCAAGTAGTGACTGGATTAGAACCTAGGTCTTTGGTTCCAAATTCCTACGCCTTCATACTACACATCAGCCACCTCTTCCTACCCCTCCCCCACCACCAAGTATAACTTGCTGACTGAGCCATCTTCCCATAAATAATTCAGAGAGGCATTTTCGAGTACAAACTGCTTTCAAATGAGGCTGTTACTCAGGACAGCAGAGACATTAAAAATTAACAGCAAAAAGGTTATTAAATACACACACCGGACTCACAAAGCAGCAGCTGCTGAAACAGCAAGAGCAGGCTGCCAGGGGAGCACCTTCATCAGTGCACAGCTTGCACTTGTGAAGATGAGTCTTCCTGATTCCAAGCAGATGGGGCTAGAACCCAGAGAAGGGCCTAGACCAGACCTGGCTCTCGGCAGATGTGCCCATCAAGGCAGCTGGAAGTTCCTGAGCCCTGGCAGACAACCAGGCCTTCAATTTGACAGCCCCGGGCTCTTCATTCACCTGGGAGTGGGGGCTCACAGGCCTGTATGTGACCTTGGGGAAGCCACTTCCCAGCTCTGGGCCTCAGTTTCCCCATTTGTAAAATGAAAGGGATTACCACTTGGCTCAGAAAAAAGTTAGAAAATATGCCTCCTCTCCCTTCCTTGTGGTGGTAGTTGGGTGGGGAAGGGCTCTAGGACAACCTGCTTTCTTTCTTATTGTGACAAGCAGATGTCTTGCTTCACAGGGGAGGCAGGATGGAAATATTCAGACATCAGAGTGACGTAAAATGAAAAAATGCAAATAATTATTTTTTTAAAAAAATAAGGATGGATTAGATTGGTGTTACTTCTCTAAACCTCAGTTTCCTCATCTATAAAATGAAGGGGTCAGATTAGGAACCTCTGAGGTTCCCCCTCACCAAGCTCTAGAACTATGACCTTATGAATATAAGATCCCACCCCAAATCCTACCTTCCACACTTTCTGTGAAAGCTTCGAAGTTTCTCTGAATCATTCCACTTACCCCTCATCACCTCATTACTTCTTTCAGTACTAATATACCTCATGTGCAAAGCACACCTTACAAGTATAATCCCTCTTGATCCCCATGACAACCCCAGGAGGTAAACACTACTATTATCATCCTCATTTTACAGATGAGGAAACTGAGGTTAAGTGACTTGCCCAGGGTCACAGTCTTAGTAAGTGTCTGAGGCTGGATTTGAACTCAGGTCTTCCTGACTTCAGATTCAGCACTCTGGGCATTATGGCACCCCTAAGCTGCCTACTTGGCAACAGGATGGAGTACCGAGTGCCTGCCTCAAGTTACTATTCTTTTGAGGTCTTCTAGTTCAAGCTTCCCTCTATGAAATGGGGGGGAGGTAGATTTGGGCTAGGTCACCTCAAAAGATAAACCTTCCATGCCAAGTCAACAAGCATTTATTAAAGGTTTTTTACATACCAGGCACTCTGCCAAGTGCTGGAGATACAAATAAAGGCAAACGCAGACCTTGCCCTCCAGGAGCTTACAGTCTAGTGGGAAATACAACATGCAAACAACTATGTGCATACTGGATAAATTGAGAGTGGACGAAAGGTCATTTGAGAGGA